AAAAAAAACCCCACAAACTCAGAAAACACCGAGGATCCCTCATTAATTATTTTAATTTTTTTGGCCGCCCGTCTTGTTTCAACCGATTCTGGCTGCCTTACAGGATAATAAACATTAAAACCGTCAAATCACACACACACCCTCCCACTGCCGGCCTTTCAATTGGGAGAATTGGACGCCAGCGGTGGCTTCATCGAGCTCGTGGCAACGGCGGCGGTGTTGTCTCTCTTTAGAGCAGCCTCTGTTTATTTCTGGTAACTTTCCACCTCACGGAACAGGCTGGGAAGGGCTGTTTACCTGGGTGCAGTGGTGGGATGCAAAGTTTTTTTTTTACTACCGGTTCTGTGGGCGTGGCTTGGTGGGCGTGGCAGGGGGAAGATCCTGCAAAATCCCCCTTCCCTCCCCATCCCACTAACCTGCTTTCCAGCTCCGTTCTCCTGGGCAGGGCAACCCAAGGAGACCCAGCCAATCAGCAGAGACTCAATGGGAGGCGGAGAAGAGATGGGGTTGGCGGGGCCAGTCAGAGGTGGCATTGGCCGGTTCTCCGAACCACTACAAATTTCCGCTACCGGTTCTCCAGAACCGCTGAGAACCGGCTGAATACCCACCTCTGCCTGGGTGATGCTTAGCTGAAGGATGGCCGAGTAGCACACCTGGGCCAACAGCGGACGGAAGCGATCACTCGAGCTGCCTCTGATCGCTGAAACCCACTTCGGCTCTCAAATACGCCCAGGGAGTCCTCGACTTACAACAGCTTCGTTTAGTGACAGTTCATAGTTATGACGGCACTGGGGGAAAAAGCGACTTGGGATCTTTTTTTTTTCCACACAACCTTTGCAGCATCTCCGGGATCGCGGGATCAAAATATTTATGACCGTTGTGGCGTCCACGGGGTTACGTGATCCTCTTTTGCAGCCTTCTGACAAGCAGAGGTCAACGGGGAAGCCCGATTTGCTTAACAGCTGGGTTCCTGATTCTCTTAGCGACTGCGGCAAGAAAGGGTTGTAAAATGGGGCGAAACTCCCTGAATGGATGTCTCACTTCACAATGGAAATTTTGAGCTCCATTGTGGTCACAAGTCAAGGACTGCCTGTATATATGGAGGGGGGGGGGCGTTGTTTCAGCACTCTGTTTTCCCGTATGTTTTTCATCTGTACGTGCATCGACATCTTTTAACGACCCCATAATCCCTTGCTGGGTGTGGAGTCTGGGAAACTGAATGGAGCTTTGTGTTTACTGGCCGGATGCCTTTCTTGTTGCCAGTACGGAGTTTTTGTTCCGCAGATATATTCTCATTCTCATATTCTCAGAGAAATATCTGCCTCTACCTAGGATCGAACTCACAGCCTCCGGACTGCGAGGCGAGAGCTCCACCGGTAGCCCACCACACCCCTCCCTTCATCCGTATCTGCACAAGTATCTCAAAATACTTTTTGTGAGCTGGCGGCAGCCGATTTTTTAACAACCACTTACTCGTCTCTCTCTCTCTCTCTTTGCATTCTCCCCTTTGCTTGCCTGACTGCCTGTGTCTGTCTTGTCAGAATAAGGACAGGGCATGTCTGGGGTCCTGTCACTTAGTAAGTACCACGGGGTCTACTTCTGCCCTTGTCCTTGTGTATCTCCCAACACCCCCTTCCTCCCACCCCCCCTTGGTGAAGTGTGAAGCGGGTTGCATGTTTCTTGCTGGTCTGGCAACGAAGGAGCAGGGACAACGTTTAGTGATTGCTTTCCTAAACCAGTATCAAATCTCACATTGCAAAAAGCTCTTAATTTTTCAGCGGAAAAGAGCTTTGAGCAAAAAAAAACAAAAACTATTTTATGCAATGAATCACTAAGTCATAAAATTATGAAGTCATAAACCCTTCAGTAAAAAAACAAACAAACCCTGGAATCTACCAAATTGGTTATTCTCCCTCGTTGCCACGACCTTCCTGTGTCTTAATTAAAGAAGCTGTTTCAGGTTTTTTTTGTTTTTAATTAACACAAGGTTGAATTTCCTCTTCCTTTTTTTCCTCTTGCAGCATGGATAAAAACGGGACGATGACCATCGATTGGAACGAGTGGCGGGATTATCACCTCCTGCACCCGGTGGAGAATATTCCAGAAATTATCCTGTACTGGAAACACTCAACGGTAAGACAAGAAAAATCTCACGTGTGCGTCGAATCAGAACATTTTTTTTTTATTATTGGTCAGAGTCCGGCAAATAAAAGCATTAGAAATAATAATAATGTTAGTAAAACTAAATAAAAATAAAGGCAGAGTGATATATTGTGATTGGTGGTGGATTAAGAGTTGGTTGTTGTAATAATAATAAAAAAAGAGTTGGTGGTTAAAGTTTGCCTAATTTTACATATAGCATAGCAAAATTTGGTCACATTCAGAGGACCTAACTGTGCAGGTATTCCTCAACTTACGACAATTTTTGTTGCTGAGCCGATGATGGCTGCCAATTTTTGGCCATTGATAGGGTGAGACATCCGTTAGGTGAATTTTGCTCCCTTTTACGGTCTTTCTTGCCACCTTCATTAAGTGAATCACTGCAGTTGTTAAATTAGTCACATAGTCATTATGTGAATCTGGCTTCTCCCGTTGACGTTGCTTGCAAGGTGGTCGCAAAAGGGACGCCTCAACCATTATATACATTATCTTGTCCATGTTTGACAAACAAACAAATCAATAAAATGAAATGAAACAGGGTCCATGATGATGGCGGAGACTGATGGGTCTTGGCTGGGTTGCCTTTCAGATTTTCGATGTCGGGGAGAATCTCACCGTCCCGGATGAATTCACCATAGAAGAGAGGCAGACGGGGATGTGGTGGCGCCACCTGGTGGCAGGAGGAGGTGCCGGCGCTGTATCCAGGACCTGCACAGCCCCCTTGGACCGTTTGAAGGTGCTCATGCAGGTAAGGAAATTCCACCAAGGAGAAGGTGCTTCGGGTCTACTTTTTTCACACAATCCTTCCTCTTGGGGAGTAGAAGGTCCAAAAGCCACCCTATCAATGCCCCAAAATTGGCAGCTACCGCCGGCTTCAGAAGTGGAGGAAACCAAACATGAAAGTTCCAAGTTCTTGGACATTTGCCTCCTGCCTCGCCCTTGCATCATTCTGGTCGTGCTTGGCTTCCCAAAATACTAGGCGTCCCCGCAGAGTTGGCGAGCTTATATCCGTATCACTTACGTTGGTCTTGATGGATCCAGCCTTGGTGGGACGGGAGGTGACTCGTGACTTGGTGGCACTATCTTCCCTGTTGGCGACCAAAGGACAGCATGTCATGCTTGCATGTCAACTGAGGAATTTGGACTTTGCACGGAAGCGGCCCAAAGCTGTCCGTCCACGCTTTTTATCAAATTTGGTGTGGATTCAGCTGGCGTGCCAAAGTCCATGTTTTCTTTGAACTTGTTGTTTTTCCCCAAAGCTTCTACTGTCTGGGCTCCGGCATCCACCCCCATTCAAATCATGAGTCTCTAGCTGCCTCTCTTAGAGTTTTTTTTTTTTTAAAAAAACAAGATTTATTAGGAGTGAACATGCCAGGTGCAGCCAACTCAGAGATACATCATTCATTTCACCCTTGACCCTGGTCTTCCCCTACCCCCTGGGATGTATATTCTCCAATGGGACACATCCATAGCCAAGAGTCATCAATTATGCTCTCCAGTAAAAATCTTGCGTGCCAGAAGCTTCGGCCCGCCTAGCCATTATCTATGAAAGCATTTAAGGAATGCACTTCTCCCCTGCTCCCTTTTTGCTGTCAACTCTAAAAGACCAGAGAAATATTTTTTTTGAGTTGACATCTACCTTTCTACAGGTTGAGCTGTGTGGAAATCGGCTCCTTGAGCCAGTATTGAGACAAATTGAACCCATAGCTCAGTGAGAAACAAGACGGAAACGCATCAGCGGGTCTCCATCCAAACCCCAAAATGGTCTCTTTTTCTCAGGTCCACGCTTCTCGCAGCAACAATATGTGCATCGTCGGAGGATTTTCTCAAATGATCCGTGAAGGTGGCACCAGGTCTCTTTGGCGTGGCAACGGCATCAACGTCTTGAAGATCGCCCCGGAATCAGCTATCAAATTCATGGCGTACGAGCAGGTAAGGCGTCAAGGAGCCCAAAGAGTCCGGGGTGATTTGTACGTTTCCATTTTTTGGAGGCCTTTGAGGGAGGGAGAAGGGAGCGATTGATAGCAATAGCCCTTAGACTTATATACCGCTTCACAGGGCTTTTGCAGCCCTCTCTAAGCAGTTTTACAGAGTCAGCCTCTATCGCCCCCAACAATCTGGGTCCTCATTTTACCCACCTTGGAAGGATGGAAGGCTGAGTCAACCTTGAGACGATCAGGATCGAACTGCTGGCAGTTGGCAGAGTTAGCCTGCAATACTGCATTCTAACAACTGTGCCACCACATCAGATGATAGATAGATAGATAGATAGATAGATAGATAGATAGATAGATAGATAGATAGACAGATGATGGATAGATGATAGATAGATAAATATAGATAATAGATAGATGATAGATAATGATAAGAGATAGATAGATAGATAATGATAAGAGATAGATAGATGGATGATGGATAGATAATGATGGATGGATGGATGGATGGATGGATGGATAGATAGATAGATAGATAGATGGATGGATGGATGGATGGATGGATGGATGGATGGATGGATGGATGGAGCACTTAGACTTGTATACCGCTTCACAGTACTTCACAGCCCTCTCTAAGTGGTTGACAGAGTCACCCAACAATCTGGGTCCTCATTTTGCCCATCTCAGAAGGATGGGAGGCTGAGTCAACCTTGAGCCTGGTGAGACTCGAACTGCCAAATTGCAGGCAGATGGCAGTCAGTAGAATTAGCCTGCCGTACTGCACTCTTAACCACTGCGGCTCGTGTAGACTTCTCCAGGCTAAGCATGGGACACCTTTCTTGGCAGATCAAACGCTTCATCGGCACAGACCAAGAGGTGTTGAGGATTCACGAGAGGCTGGTGGCCGGCTCGTTGGCTGGAGTCATTGCACAGAGCAGCATTTACCCCATGGAGGTGAGTTGTCTTCTATTCTTTGCTCAAGAAGCTGATCCCAATCTGCTGCCAACTTGATCGGAAGTCTCCACACTTGGCCATTTGTAAGACTTGTGGACTTCAACTCCCAGAATTCCTCAGCCAGCTGAGGAATTCTGGGAGTTGAAGTCCACAAGCCTTGAAGTTCTCAAGTTTGGAGATCCCTGATCTTAGATGGACTAGCCTTCAAGAGCATGGTTGATCATGTTATGAAGAATAATGAGGACTAGAAGGCTGGAAGGGGGGAGGGTTCCAGATTGGGGAAGATGGTTTGAGAACATTCAACCTTCCCCATTGACATTCTCAAGGGCTGCCTTCATCGGAGACATTGGTGCACCTCTACCGCTCCGTTGCTTTTCCTTGGTGGTGAAATCTTCTGTGCATCTGACCCAGATGCTGTTGTTCCTTGTCTCCCTCCTGCTTAGGTTTCTGACATTCTTCTTGCTCTTGTTGGCATAGGTTCTGAAAACCCGGATGGCCCTGCGTAAAACCGGGCAGTACACAGGGATGCTGGACTGCGCAAAGAACATCCTTGCCAAAGAAGGACTAGGTGCTTTCTACAAGGGCTACATTCCCAACATGCTGGGGATCATCCCGTATGCTGGGATTGACCTGGCTGTTTACGAGGTAAGAGACGTGGCAAGAAAGGGAGGTTCTTAAAGATGGTGGTTGGTGGCTCTCAAAACCCCCAAGCAGAAGGTCTAGCGGTCTTCGCCTCCAGCTCCTCTGAAGCTTAGCAGGTCCCATGCCAAATGGATTTGCTCAAGGCTCTTGAACCGAGTTGGCTCTCCGTTGACTGTTGATGGTTTCCTTCCAGACATTGAAAAACAGCTGGTTGCAGCGTTACGCCGTGAACAGCGCAGATCCTGGCGTCTTCGTCCTGTTGGCCTGTGGCACCATGTCAAGCACTTGTGGGCAGTTGGCCAGCTACCCTCTTGCTTTAGTACGGACCCGAATGCAGGCTCAAGGTAAGATGGCACCCCAGGAACTCTTGGAGAAAGCTACAACCAGGCATGGGCTGCTGGGGGCTTGCAGGGGCTCAGGAGAGCCCCTACCTAAGACTCTGAGGGGCTTGGGGAGCCCCCGATAATTTCAGAAAAACAGCAAGGGAAAGCTCTTAATAGGCTTAACTGAAGTTCTGGGCATTCAGCCAAGAGCATTTCACACCTTGTAAAAGTGTGGCAAGCTAGATAAGCAATCCACTCAGCGCTTGCAAGGAGAAAATCAGATGACCTAGCCACTAGCCTCCGAGGGGATTAATTCCCAAATAATAAGAATCACGCCACTCACCAGAAACTCCACTAAGACTCCCAAGATCCCTCTCACAGTCACTGCTATTAAGCCTGATTTCAGCCAGTCTTTTAAGTATTAAATTAAATGCACGAAATAATAGACAACTTTTTGGTATGATCTTTTTTTTTAGGGAATTAGGGCAAAGAAGTGACGTTGAGTTGGCCACACCCACCCAATCACATGACTACCCAATCACATGACCACCTGGCCACGCCCACCCAGCCGCATGACCACCCAGCCAGTCATTAGGGCAGAGAGCCCCTTGCTAAAAAAATTTTTTTTTGAAACCCTCCCCTGGCTACCACCACCAAGGAGGGGGGTTCTTCCTGGGACCCGTTGACCCTCAACCAAACCCTTCAACGCCTGTCTCGTGTCTTCTCTTTCAGCTTCAATCGAAGGGGCCCCGGAAGTGACCATGAGGGGCCTCTTCAGGCACATCCTGAAGACCGAAGGCGCCTTTGGGCTCTACAGGGGCCTGGCCCCCAATTTCATGAAGGTGATCCCCGCCGTCAGCATCAGCTACGTAGTCTACGAGAACCTGAAGATGACTCTGGGGGTGCGGTCGCGATGACCACCAAGTGGCCTCTGGGACTCCTTTTAAACCAAACCTGGGAGCGAACAGCTCTCGGGTGGACGGCCGTTTCATTCTGTGAATGGGTTGAAGACACTAATAAGTCGTGCGAACCAAGCTGTGATGCCCCCAGACCCAGAAGGGCGGGGGGGAACTGGGGGGGTGGGGACCGACGGGTGGGTGGTGGGCGAGGCTTTTATCTTTGTGTTGCTGTCAGAAGCACGGGGGGGGGGGGGGGTTTCGAAGGACCAAATCAGGAAACCCCTCCAACCCTCTGCCCTTTGGCCAGGAGATCACCTCAAGCTGCTCGGTGGCTTCTAAGGGAGCAGAAGGCTTGGGGGACATCTTACTTTTCTCAAGCCACTTCAGAGCGGGGCGATAGATCCATCATTCCCCTCTGGGTTTCTCTTGTTGGGGCCGTCCACGTATCTCCCTTCCAAGGCTTCAGTTCCCCCAAATAAGACCTGCCTTAGGTAGAAATGGCTAAGAGCCAAAAATAAAACCCCAAACCCCTCCCATTCCCCCAAAATACCTTTGCTGTTTACATAACATTCTGCTGGGCGAGAGCGATTTACATTACAATCCTGACACTGCAATGTAATTTTTTTTATTTAAGAAAGAAAAGAAAAAAAACAAAACCAGGTTCAAGGGAGGAGGAATGTTTCTTTGATCTCCTCCTCCTCCTCCTCCTCCTCCTCCTCC